TCAGTTCAACACTGTCATCAAATACCATATCGGATGTTTGTTGGTTTAACTGCTAAGCTAGTCGTTCTTCTCCGTCGATGCCTTTCAATTTGGCTTCATTTCTTCTTGTTTGACGTTTTTTTCAGTCAACCTAAATGACCTTAATGAAAAATGTTTAATACTGTTGTTTTTGTCCTGTTTTGTTTTGTTTTGTTTTGTTTTGTTGTTGTTTTCGTTGGTGATGATGGTGTGGTGCTACTAGTGATGATGAGGGTGATGCTGGTGGTTTACTTTCTGAACTTGAGTCAATGTTTGTTGTTTTGGTTGGCTTGAATCGACACAGCTAGAATGGCTGGGCCACTGAAGTGCCTACTTGATGTGTGTATAAAATGCCTGATTTTAGCGTAATATGATCCTTGGCTCGTTCACGCAACTTATTCCTTAACCAACTCTATTGTTTTGGTTAATTTGTGTTTTAGATTAGTCGTGTTAAAAACTCTAAACAGTGCTACCGTGAAGCTTTAGTTGATGTATTATTTGTGTGTATAATCAAGAAAGTATCACATCATTGTTGCTGTCATCGTTAGCCTTCTACATTCTGTTCTTCGTCTTTTCTAACCACTGGCCTCAAAAAAACTTCAACCAACTATTTCTTTGACAACATAGTTATGACAATATTTGTTTTGAAAATTGCTCAAATAGTTTTTCAACAAACATATTTGATAGACACATTTGTATTTTTTTGCTTCATTATTTGTTTTAACATGAAATAAAATTTCTTACTGTTTTTTTTTTTTTTTTATGGTGGCAAACTTATTTAACTAATAATTTAAGAACTAAAGTTAAAACATGATGCGTTACTGTTTTTCGGATTATCCAACTCTTAATAATTGTGCTGGAAGATTAGAAAACATATTGTGCTGGATGACGCACATATATTTATTGAATTAAATGAGCTTGATGAACAGATTTTAATTGTCAAAAATAAAAAAAATCGCATTACTGTATCGGGTAGAACAGCTGAACCAAATTTTGTACATATATTAAGCAGATATTAATATTTTTAGATCAACTTTAGTACCAATTGATCTTTATGCTTTCAGAGTGATAAGGTTGGTCAGA